TAATTCCTAACACCACTTGGCAGTATCCAAGCTGTCTGTGCCGTCAAGATTGCTGACAGACTGCAGCTCTGTATGTCTACTTTTTTGGTGTTTTCATGCAGGTTCTTCTACTAGTTGGAGTTTAGTCCACTTCTATATTCTTCCTTTCAAAGCTCAGGACTCCAGGATTATCTTCTGTATCGGTGTTAGTTGGTTCCTCTTTTCTTTGTTGAAGAGCGTCTGTGTAGTTTGTCTGCCTATTCCACCATCTTACCAGAACCTGTATGTATTATTTTTTTGATATGCTATTGAATTCTATTTGGTGGAATTTTGTTGAGAATATTGTATCTATATTCACGAGGGATATTGATCTGTAGTTTTCTTTTTTGTAGTATCTTTCCCTGGCTTTGGTTATCAGGGTTATGCTGGCTTCATAGAATGAATTACGGAGTATTTCTTCCTTTTCTATCTTCTTGAATAATTTGAATAAGATTGGTATCAACTCTTTTTTGAATATTTGGTAGAACTCTCCTGTGAAGCTATCTATGCCAGCTTTTGTTGTTGTTGCTAGGAATTTTTTTTTTTTAATGATATTTTCAATTTCTTTTTTTTTAATGACATCTTCAATTTCTTTTTTTGTTATGGATCTAGTTAAGTTTCTACTCCTGTGTTAGTTTAGGTAGGTAGTCTATGTCTAGAAATTTGTCCATTTTTTTCTAGGTTTTTAAATTTGTTAAGAGTATAATTTTTCATAATATTCTGTTACTGTTATTATCTTAGTTGATTCTGTTGTTATATCACCCATATCATTTCTTATTTTGATTATTTACACCTTCTTATTTTTTCCTTTGTCAGTTTGGTGAGTGGTTTGTCAGTTTTATCAGTCCTCTCAAAGATATTCTAGTCATGTTAATTCTTTCTACTCTTTTTATGTTTTCCATTTCATTTATTTCTGCTCTGATCTTTATTGTTTCCTTTGTTCTGGTGACTGTAGACTTCTTTTGCTGCCCTCTTTTCCAACTTGTGGGGTTAGGCTATTGATTTTGGCCCCTTCTTTTTCGATATGTGCATTTATTTTTCCTCTGAGTATTGCTTTCACTGTGTCCCAAAGGTTTTGATATATTGTACTTTTATTCTCATTTGATTCTAAGAATTTTTAACTGCATTTTTAATTTCCTTTACTATCCAATAGTCTGTAAGTAAGGTGTTATTTAATCTTTATTAATTTTTTCCTTGTTCTTTCTGTTACTGATTTCTAGTCTAATAGTGTTATTATCAGAGGAGATGCTTTGTATTATTTCAATGCTTTTGAATGTATTGAGGCATTTTTGTGACCTAAAATATGATCTCTTCTGGAGAATGATCCAGGTTTGTCGGAGAAGAATGTGTACTGTGCTGCCTTTGCATGCTGTGTTCCATGTATGTCTATGAAATTAAGTTGGTTGATCATTTCCTTTATTTTTCAAAAGTATTCTGTACTTTATGAATGAAATATATATTCATAGATCTCATAAGATATTAATAATTATTTATTTAAATTTTATTTCAATAATAATTGTTTATTTAAATTTCCAACCAAGAATTATATCGGAAGGAAGGTTGGGCAATCTACTTCCGTAGTGATACTGCCTCGGAAACCCAAGGAGGGGTCGCTATGAGTTGGGTCTGACTCGATGGCACATAACAACAACAACAACAAAAATTTAGAAGTTATTTTCTTTGCATACTTTGTTTAATGATGATCCTAGGTTATATGCTCATTTTTAACAGTGATTTAAATTTTGTGCACATGAGTAATTGGATTTAATTAATTAATTGCTTAAAATTAGGAGTTGAAGAAGAGACTGCTATTTTTCCCCAGTATTATTTTAAGAAGTAGCACTCTCACATCTTTAAATATCAGCAGGGTACATGGCTGCTCAGGTAGAGCCTCCCTAGAAGCAATCTCTTAACGTGTGCAACATCCTGGTCTCTTACTTAAGAAGGAAGTCACTTGTTCTCTACTTCCTCTTTCCCCCTGCCTAGGACTGAAATGCTGACATGGTGCAAGTGAGCTAACTTCTGCCTTGCTGATGAAGACAGCACTTTGGGGATATTGGAGTAACAAAGAGGAAGGAATCTGGCACTAAATGACCTAGTTGAGCAGAACTGCCAACCATCCACTTCTGCTTTTGGACTGTTACATAAGAGAAAAGAATACATTTCATCTTAGTTTGAGCTGCTATGATTTTTGATGTCTTTGTTACATTACTACAGCTTAGTCTAATAGTACAAAGGGATCTCCAAATATCAATGTTTATTGGTGTCTTCTCTCTTGCTGTGTCTCCAGCATCTAATTCCTTCCCTGCTCATCTATTAACCTGAATTTCTACCATGCCAAGTGAAATTACTGCTGCCATAGTCTCACTGAATTTTGCTTCTTCCTTCACCCCTCAACCTATATTCATCACACTATTACTTTTATATTGATAACATTGAGAGCATTTACTTTCTCTCCTAAAACAATGGTTTCCATCCTTAGAAAATATAGTAGTTACATTATTATTCTTGTTTTAAGTAGGATGTTTTCCCTTCCATTATGACTAGTTCATTTTTGTATTTCCCACAGATCTTTGCCCAAAGTATGTGCTGAAGAATCACATGATTAGTAAAGAGTGTGTAAGTTACATGAAATATTGACTTGATGTTAAAGTTTAATACTGCCCAGGATAAAATCAATTTTAATTTTTTTTGCTGGCAAATATTGTTCTTTGGCTACAGGGAAACAAACTATAAGTATATGATTTATCCAATTTTTGGGTAATAAGAGAGCCCAGGAAGAAGGATGATGATGATGAATCAGAGAGTCAGATGAAAAAATATAAATGAGTGGAGACTATAGGTTAAGTTACATCTTGTAAGGAGGAAAACCAACATTTAGAAAAGGAATGTGATTGTCCTAAAATTCCTATGATCTAGGAATAGTCTTGTGAAAGAAAAGCTCCTAGCACTGTGTTCTCATCATTTTGAGCAAATCAGCAACTTTATGATATTGATATTTTCAGCATTCAAATGATGATAATTATTAGTTTTTATGAATATTTACACATAATGGGTGATTATATAATTCAAGCAATTCTTCCTAAAGAATTTTCTTAGGATATTTTTAAGTCTAGCTCAGTACATACTTGTAGCTTGATAATTGCAGTTTTAGAACATACCAGTTTAAAAATATGTACAATCAAATCTGTCTTGAAGGAAGTACAACCTGAATGCTCCTTAGAAATGAGAACGGCCAAACTTTATCTTTCATATTTAGGTCATGTTGTCAGAAGCAAGCAGGATATCATGTTTGGAAAAGTGAAATGTTTGGTCAGTGAAAAAGGAGAAGACCATTAACAAGATGGGTTGACACAGTGGCTGCAACAATGGGCTCCAGTATGGCCATGATTTTGAGGACAGCACAGGACTGAGCAGTGTTTTGTTCTGTTGTACATAGGATCACTGTGGTTGAAACCAACTAGACAGCACCTAACAACAATAACAACATGGACAACTTGGACTTGCTGAAATATAAGTGGAAAATCAAAAGCAGTCCTTGTACAGGGAGGACAATGGACTTTTTATAGGAATAAAAAAAAAAAAAAACCCACAACTCACTGACAGTTGAGTCAATTCTGACTCATAGCGACCCCCCCTTGGGTTTAGAGATGATATCTCTATAGAAGTAGATTGCCCAGTCTTTCTTCTGAGAAGTGGCTGATGGGTTTGAACCATCAGCCTTCTGGTTTCTAGAAAGCTAAATACATTTTGTAGACTGCTCATAGCCTAGCCAGAATAGAGTAATAGAAGCTTATAAGTGTGAAAATACTCAAGAAGCCAGTGCAAACAAGAATTTCCATTAACAATACTGTTAAGAAGAAATGGGAACATTTTGCCCCTAATTCCTGAGTTTTTCTGATGTGTGTTGTTTTAGCTGCCACCCAGTGGGCTCTGACTCATGGGCATTCCATAGAAAACAGAATGAAGTATTGTCTGGTCCTGGTCTGTCTTCATAATGGTTGGTACACTCTAGTCTGTTGATGCATGTATTGTGTAGTTCCTTGCAACACAGGGGGCTCGGCTTCCAGCACAAATATCAGACAATGTTCTGCAGTTTTTATTGTCTTCTAAGTTGTCTTACTCCAGAAGTTCTGCTGAAACTTGTCCACCATGCGGGCACTGCTGGTATTTGAAATAACCAGTGACATCACTTCCACCAACACAGCAACACACAAGCCACCACTTTAAGGGTTAATTTATACTCAAACGGTTGCTTCAATGTGTTACACAAGAAATTGTTATTGACCAATTAGTGGAATTGTTTTGAAAAAAAGTTTGGGTTTTAAAATGAGTCTGGAGTTGAGAATTTGGCTTAACCACTAATTGATTTAGGCAATTTTAATCTATCTGAATCTGTTTCCTCATCTTTGAAAATGAAGAAGACGAGAGCTATGTCATATGGTTTTTTGAGGATTAATTACAAGAGTTTATGCAAACTTGTGGGACACAGTATTTAAAACTTAAAAATAGGTTAATATAGTTTCCTGGTTAATGATTTAACTTCCTTTTTGTGTGTTTCCTCTTTCTAAAGGACAAAAATGCAAAGTGGGTTTATTAGTTTTCCTTTCTCTCTAGGAAGCTGAAATGTAATTATGCTTTCATCAATATCACAAAGAAATTCATCCAGTTACATTTAGTAATTCTTCCTATTTATTTTTGAGAGGTAAGCATTTTGGCTTTTTGGTCTGCACTAGTTATTCCAGCTCAGCTGGGTGGTGAAGATCACTTTTGGACATTTTCCAGAACTTAGTCTGTTTTTTAGACAAATATCTTTTATATCTTCCAGGAACAGATACCCTCAGTTGGGGGGCAAGATAGAGAACTGGGACCTTGTTCAGGATTAACTCCTTAGCTCAGGCACCATTTCAACTGTTTCTTAGAAGACTTTTGTTCATCTTGATTCCAGGTGTCTGAGAACGCTACAACTCCGAGACGCTGCCATGCCCTCCATGTTGCCAAGCAGTTTCCCAGCACTGTGCCTCTTTGGGGTCTTGACCGTATTGCAGTGCCCTTCAGCTTTTTGTGGTGAGTACAGTGGTTAAGGAAAAAATGGGACAGTCTTTCCATGGTGTAGAGAAAAATTTCCCAATGAAGAATTAGTTAAAGGTAGTCAAGTCATGGTAATTCAGAACAATTTTGAGAAAGTACAGTGAACTTTGGTATGAATGAAAAGAAAGCATTTAAAAATATTAAAGAAATTATTCTAATTATTTCTAATATAAACTGTTACTATGTCTAGAATAACACAATATTGAAGTGCAAAAATTCTTTATGGGCTGTTTTAGCAAGGAATAGCCTTTAAGTTTCAAATCAATTTATTATATTTAAATAGAGCCCCCTAAATTATAAAACATATTTTCTAATTAAGTTAAAAAAATTCATCCATAAAGCAAAAAATATCATCTAAGATCATAAATACTGAGTAAATTTTCTAGAGTGAAAAGAAGGCACATTTTAAACTAAATGTAAGATACTGTTATTGAATGTAGGGAAATTGTTGCAAATCAATGAGTGTTCTGGTTACCTAATGCCACTCTGACAAGAATATACCACAAACAGGATGGCCTTAACAAACAGGAGTTTATTCTCTCATAGTTTGGAGGCTTTAAGTCCAAGTTCAAAGTGCTAGGCTCTAGGAGCTGGGTGAAAGCCCCTCAACCTTGGGGTCCAGCTCTGCCTCCTGCTCCTGACCCACTGGAGATAGAGGTGTTTCTTCATTCAGACAGCTGCTAGCTGCTGAGGCTAACAAACCCAAGGTTGACAAGTAAAAAGGCACAGTCCTGATGTTACCAAACCACACAGCAGACCATTAATCCAAATTCATTGAAAGTCCCAAGGTTGGCAGAGCACAGCAGGCTGCTGAACAATGACACGGCTACATGGAGGGTCCAAGCGTGCCACAAGCTGGAGATTCTCCCCAAGCCTTCTCCTTATATAGAGGAAGCAGACCACATCCCAAAGGCAGATACCCAGTTACTTGTGGTAGATCCCACCATGGAGTTGGGGTCTTGACCGTATTGCAGTGCCCTTCAGCTTTTTGTGGTGAGTACAGTCTCATGAGGAATAACTGCCACCAGCTACCCAGACACTCAAGGAAGCCCAGTCCAGTTGACATACAAACGTAACCACCACAATGAGAAATGGAAGATTTGACAGAACTTGTTCAAGAGCTGTTGCTGTGGAAGTTAGAGAAATTTCTTATGTTATTTAAATGGACACGTATATTTATCAAAGTGATATTTTCCTCTTTAATCAGACAAAACTGTTTCAATATTTTTTATAATATATTAAAGATATTTATAAGCATATCCCCTGAAATAGCTATTATGACATCAAAATGGAGGATTTTTGGATAGCTTAGAGGGAATTTCCTGACCCTAAAATAATAGTCAAATGTTCTTTTGTGAGCTAGCAGACTGATATAAAAAAAATGGATGTCAAGCTTTCTTTATCACTGAGAGTCAGGACAGGGCAGCATAGGCATATTAAGAAAGCATCTTTATTTGAAGATGATTCTTTACATCAAAAGGATGACAGCTATTGAGGGATTGTTGTTGTTTCAAGTTGCCATTGAGTCAATTCTGATTCATAGTGGCCCTGTGTGCAGAGTAAAACTGCTCCATGGGGTTCTCAAGTCTGTGATCTTTAGGAAGTAGGATCACCAGGCCAGTCTCCCAAGATGTGTTTGGCTGGATTTGAACTGCCAACCTTTCAGTTAGTAGTGTTGTTGTTGTTGTTATGTGCCATCGAGTCAGACCTCACTCATAGCAATCCCTCCTTGGGTTTCTGAGTAAGTATCACTACAGAAGTAGATTGCCTCATCTTCCTTCTGAGGAGTGGCTGGTGGGTTTGAACCGTCAGCCTTCTGGTTATCAGTCAAGTGCCCTAGGCACTATGCTACCAGAGTTGTTGTTGTTGTTAAGTGCCGTCGAGTCGTTTCCAACTCATAGCGACCCCATGCACAGCAGAACTGATCTGCACTGAACACTTTCCCTTGTTACCCTCCCGAGAGGGACTGGGTCTCTGGGAGCAAGGTAAGCACAGGCGTAGCACAGAGTAGTAGGCTGGAAGAGCAGGAGAAAGGGGTAAAACCCAGGAAGCCAAAGAGAAGAGCAATCAGCCAAAGGGATTAGGTGAGG